AAAACTTGTCTTTTCTCCTGTTTATCTGTCAGTTTCAATTTAATTCTCGGGACCCGAATCACCAATAACTAAGTAGACTGAAGAAAAGTTTTTCCTCCTTGACACCACTCATAAGGTGGACAGATGAACTTACAAATAATGGAATCGGTTGACCTACGGCCCTACTTTGATCAGAATACAAGAACCACGTCTTAATTATTAAGAGATTCTCTCCAACACCAGAGCAATTTGTTACACATTGTCAATTTCAATACACACTCATTTAATGAATCACAATTACAAAGGAGCCTCACCAACATGGCAGTCCCATGACCTGTGCATGCAGGACATGGGTTAACTCGAGGTGGGTTAACTCTAGTTTGTAACTACAAAGTAGTAGGTTTGGTTTACTTTTATGATTACGAAAATACTTATTATTTTATAGCTATGTCACATACCAATTTTTTCTTTCTTTCTCTCTTACTAAACCATAATCTCCCTAGTTCTGAGATAAAATAATGGACCTACTTTAGATTTGTGCAAAAGGAGCTAAAGGTATATTTTTTTCCTGTGCCTCACTGGTTATTCATTTATGTATGCTGGAGAGGAGATGAGACAATATCTGAAACAGACTTTAAGTATAGAAAATTAGGGTTGAAAAGGATCTGAAAGGTTGTCCATTTTAACCACCTACTTGATGTTTGAATCTACTCAAGGACAGCCTGACAAGGGTGTGTTCTGCTTATGCTCAAACACCCCCAGCAGCAGCATAATTGACTATAAGTCACCTTACTTTGTTCTCTGATGGCTCAAATACTTAGATTTCTTCCTTAAACTGAGCCTAAATTTTTCTCCTGGCATTCTCACCCATTGGTCTTAGTCTAATTGGTCCTCTTGAGGTCATCTAGAATACATACGCCTAATCCTTCTCCCACCTGATCAAACCATTATACACCCAAGTCTAGCTTTTCTAGGTTAAATGTCCTTGGTTTCTTCCGGTATTCTTCATATCACTTGGGTTTCTAATCCTAAGATTCATATGAACAATTCTGGAAAAGTTCAGTAAGTAGGAGAGACTCACCCTACCAGACATCAAGACTCCTTATAAAGCTTTAGTAATTAGGAATTTTAGGATTATATTCTCAAATTCTGTTTAAAAACAACCTGGTTGGCATTTTAATTAGTTTTGCCTTAAATTTATAATTGATTTGGGAATTGATGGCAACTTTATTACATAGCTTTTCCCATCCATGAATATTCTCATTTGTCTAGGTTTTTTAAAATGTCCTCTGCTAATGTTTTATATTTTCCTCCGAAAAGATTTTGTATATCTTGTGGATTCTTTACTGGCTACCTTTAGGTTTCCTTTCTCTTATAAATGGAATTTTTTAAAATTATTTTTTCCATTTATTGCTCCTGCACTATAATAGTGTTACTGATTTTTGTATTATGAATTTTATACCCAGCAATCTTGTCAAATTCTCAAATCGATGTTAACAATCAGTCATAAATCTGATCAGGTCATGAATTACTATTATTATACTCTGAGGTATTTGATTTGCTAAAGTTTCATATAGGATTTTCCTGTCTATGTTCTTAACTGAAATCAGTCTATAAGCTTCCCTTTTATACTGTTACTGTTCAGTTTTGTTATCAAGATTCATGTGGTAGGCACTATTAGTTGCCTTCCCAGCCATCACCATGTATTTCCCACCTCCTTTCTTAGAAGCAGATCATGCCTCTCTTGAACATCTTTCCTTTTTTAATCAGGGAGGAAAATCTCACATCTCATTGGCTGGAACTAGGTCACTTGCCATCCCTAGTTGCAAAGGTGGCTGGGAAAATAAGTATCTGACATTTTCAACCCGTGAAATACTTAGAAATTTTTACATTTCTAAATGATGAGGGAGTTCATTTATTGTTGCTACTAATTTCTTATTGTCATGCTCTTTAATCAGCCAACAGGATCTACACAATATTGATTTTCTGGTATTTGAGACTGGTTTCTGGCCTACTTTGTATAATCAGTTTTTTTCATGTGTGTTTGAAAGGCATGTTGGTTCCAGGGTCTATTAATGTCCACTATATCAAGCTTGTAATTCTGTCATTTACATCTTCTCTATGTTTCTTCAATTGTTTGTCTATTCGATCTATCAGTTTATTAAACAAGTAGGTTAAAATCTCCCATTATAACTTTAGGCCACTTGTGATTTTGTCAGTGTTGCCATATCTTTGTTGAGCTAGGTTCAGGTTTAGGGTATAACACACATTATTATTGTGATCACTGACACATTTCAATTTATCATCTGACAAACAAAATTTGTTTTCTATTTACTGTGCTTTTTGTAGGCTTCTCTTTGTTCTTCCTCTGCCTTCCATTGGATTGGTCAAGTTTTCTCTTGGAAGTTACATATTATTTTACTATTCTTTTAGAGGTTACCTTTACATTTTGAATACACATATTTGCCTTAAAATTTTAAAAAATATTTATTTATTTATTTGGCTGAGACAGGTCTTAGTTGTAGCATGTGGGATCTTTTAGTTGTGGCATGCAGGCTCTTAGCTATGGCACGCAGTATCGAAACCAGGGCCCCTGCATTGGGAGCACAGAGTCTTAACCACTGGACCACCAGGGAAGTCCCTGCCTTAAATTTTTTTAATTAATAAACATCTCTTTTTTCTTCCTAGATGATATTAGCAACTTAGAGTACTTTTTTTTAAACTGTACTTACTACCCTTTCATCTTCTGTTATTATTGTCTGTTATTTAAATTCCACAAATATTTCCAATTACTAACTATTCATATATTTGAAACATTCTATGCTCATTCAGATTTGTCCAGATGTTTACCAATTTCTTTGTTTACTATTATTTCTAGATTCCCTCCTCCTATTTCTTGGTTTCAATTTCCTTTTACTTCAAGTACAACCTTTAGTAGTTCTTTCAGTCTGTGTCTCTGAGTAGTAACCTTTCTCAGCCCTTGATTGTCAGAAATGATTTTTTTTGCACCATTCTCAGTCCCAACACCCCATTTACATGCACCGAGGCTACACTTCCTGTCCCCTTATGGGAATGACATCCACAGCCCCTAGGTGTCAGGGCCCACACTCAGTTCTGACACCCCCCAGCTTACTTAGCATTAACTCATCTGCTTTCCACTCCAGTTAGTTTCCTCTTTATTTCTAGTACCTGAGAATTTCCCTTTCTTTGCTTTGAACTCAGCTTTATATTGTTATATTTCATCCTGTGTCTGTCATATGAGGTGGGGGGAGGGTCCGTATTAATCCTTTTAGTTATTATTACTGGAAGTCCAGATATTCTATTTATAACAAATTTCCCTCTTACTAATGTTTAGTATTCTCCTTTAAAATAATGTCATATATTTTGATAGAGAAAACAGACATGACAGAGACAGCTGGACACTTCTTGTTCTGTTTCAGGAAAAGTTATAAAGTTTTCTAATTTCTTGAATTTGGTACACAGGGAACATTCCCCAGGCAATAACTTTGGAAAATGCAATCATCTGCTGAGAAATGGAATTTTGTGTAGGTTTGTATCTATTTTCTTGCACCACCCCCCGTCCCACTTCTCTTTGCTCTACAGAGGTGATCGATGCTCAATATTTGATTTCGAGTACACCCTTTGCACTAAGAATGCCAAAGCAGCATATTGAGAAACCTCTCTCTGCAAGGAAGCCATCCTCAGGCTAGACCCAGAGCTCAGCTACTCCTGCAAATCAACAGCTGGCTGCAGGCTGCACGGGTTCCAAATCCTGGGAATTCACAGCTACTGAGAGATGAACAGGATCAATCTCATTTGCATTTCATCGTGACTCAGGAATTCCCTGGTACTGCTTCCCTGCGAAGATTAAAATGTGTTGGTTGAATCAGCCAGGGTCAGGATATTGGTCTGAGAGATTTCCAAACACCCTGACAGAACACAAACCCTCCCATCAAGAAGAAATAGTCCCCTTCAGCCTGTCGAAGGGTAGAGGTCATACAAGAATGAGGGAATCCAAATATGGCTCCTCTCAGAAACACCTGACCGTGGCACTGAGCATGGAGAAATATTCACAAGTGTCAGTGTTTAAACTGGGGACACAGTCCAGCTACTATGCTGGAAGTGCTTTCTGGATGAGAAAAGGCCAATAGGAGAGGCCACAGATGGTGGTAAAGAGTATTCATGGAGATGATAGCAATGACCACAATGGTCATATGCTGGCTCACTGACATAGGCAGTTACTTTTGAGAAAATATGGCACGTGACTACAAATGTTCTGACCCAGAAAACTGAAAGGAAGAAAATGACCTGGAAGGGGGGTGTAAGGTCGGGAGAAGATCAGACAAGCCCCAACAATCAATTATGTCATTAGTGATAAGAAAACAGAAGAGATTAAAGAATGTATTTTGCAAAACAGAAATGGCAGTCCTGATCAGTGCTGGTTGATCATCCTTGAATCTTTACCCTTTCAGAGGAGAGATGACAACCTCTACCTTGGGAAGGATGGGTCTGCTCGAGAAACAGAAACCACCCGAGTACTCCATATCACTTTGGTCACAGGTGACCGGTGGTTTTGTCATCTCCCTTTGCGGACACCCGAGTGGTCACTCGGCAGGAAGTGGAAATCTTACTGAGTCAAGACCCCAACAGCACACGGCCACATTCAGCACTTACTTTTGTACAACTTACAGGCAAAGCTGCCTCTTTCCTTCTGCTAACCCAGGACCACGGGTGAAGACAAAGCCCTTTAATTCTTAAGATCAGATTTCATCTTAACATGTCGTGGAAGGGTTGGGACAGGTAAGAGGAAAGCTCCTCCTGATGAAAACGCGCTTGAGGACTATTTTGCAGAACGCAGGGGTTTCTGTTTTTGGCAGCAACTAGACTGGCAGTTTTGGAGGGCGGATGTAAAGACTTTCCCAGACAGTCACAGCCTCTACCTCAGTCTTGCAGTGGGGCTGGGTGGGAGCCCCCGGGCAGGGTGGGCGCCCGGAGGCGGAGCACCGGCTGCCAGGACTTACCTGTTGAGATACACGCGTTTCTCCGTGAACTGCCCGTTCCCATGGTGAGGGTCCTCGAAGGGCTCGTTCTGGACGACCTCCACCCCTTCTCCTCGGTCGCTCTGTTCGTGGCTGTGCTTGCTGATCATGTACAGCTGTCCGATTTTGTACTACAAAACACACAGACACAGAGGGGTCAGACCCATCGCTCGCCTCCGAAAACTGCCCCCGCGCCACCACCGCCGCTGCGCCGCAAGCAACTCAGAGCATCAGCACTTCCTGTTGAGAAAAGAAAGCAGGCACGTGGGCCTGCTGGTACTCTTCCTCAGGAAGAAGGTGGAGAACGAGCTGTGAGTAGAATGCAGAAACGGCCTGTTCCTGTGAACACTCTGCATCACCTTGGCAGATACTTGCCGGTGTGGCCGATGGCCTTCAAGGTTTGGCAGCCGATCAACCAACCCATGGGTAGCAGCTGGGAGGTGGGCACGCTGGAGTCTCCCTTTCCACTCTGGCTCTACAGGGTTAAGTGGCGCTGAAGTCCTATCCTGCTTGGCTCAAGACAGGCTCAGACAGGCTAAGGTTTGTGATTTCTGTCCCTTCTTTCTGCCTGATTAACTGCATTGCTGGGCACAAGAGGATTAGATGTCACCTGTCTCTTCCATCGCCTCTCTCAAAGTGTTCAACTCTCCTGGAGGCCTCTGTCCCATAGAATGGTGGTTCTCAAAGGTGGCTGGACATTAGAGTCACCTGGAAGCTTTAAAAAAAAAACCCTCCAGATGCCCAGGCCCCACTATGAGTGGAAACTGGACCCACCTTTAGGCTGGTCCACAAGGAGGAAAATCTACAGTATCTTTAAGTCCTGGGGCTTTAGTGCGGGGCCTTCCAGGCTGAGATGCCAGAAGTTACATGTGCTTACACGAAAATGATAAAATGGAATAACATGTAATGTGAACACTTTCCGTGCCACCTGTATCTTTGAGCTGTTCCATTCTCTTTCCTGCCTCTCTGAAAACCCTGGGGCCAGCAGGCATCTCTTCACCCAGTGAACTTCCAAAGTGACAAAACTAATTTGACGGAGGGGAAAAGAAGAGAGAGAGGAAGGAGGGAGTCAAATGACTTTTGCACCGAGGAAGTCTGCTCAGAATCAGCAGGCAGGGCGATGAGACGCTGCTGTGGTCCTTCCACAGATTCGGTGTGAAACAACACACAGTGTCAGCATCATCAAGGCCCGAGGGATGGGGGGAAGGGGCCTGAGTCTGCAGCAGGCGAATCACGGCTCCGGGTTATTCCCAAAGAGCCCAGGTCAGCAGGTATGTAGGTCCCCTGTCTATGTGCATAAGAGAGAGAAATAGATTTTAAATTAAGGGGGCATGTATAATGTACAAGTCAACAGTGCAGTCAGTTCCAAAGCTGAGAGGACACACACGTCCAAAGGTCCCTCTTCCATTCTGAGGCAGGTGCCGGGAGGGGAGTGTGAACAGAATGGGAAAGGCTCTGGTGTGAGGCCAGCCTGAGGGACCAGGCCCAGTAACCATGACAATGCAGCCTTCTGGCTCTTCTCAAAGGGCAGTGCTTCCTGTCTGTGCCACGCCTCTCCCCCAGAAGGGTCTGCATTTAAAATGCTTTTAATGTAACTGTGTGTGTGTGCTGAGGATAAGAGCAGGGAGAGGAGAGAGGAAAATCAAAGATAAAATTTATTTTTAAACAAATTTTGGGATTAGAAACTTGCCTTGGCTTCCCCTCTTCCCTTTGCTCACAAAGACTGACTAATACTGTTTCAAGGAGGAAGACAGTGAGAAAAAGTTTACAGATTGGAGATATGTGAGATCAACACTCTACCTTATACGGATGGGCACACAAGCCTGGAACAGCATGTCCAGCTGCCCAGGGGGTGGAGATTTCACTGGCAGTTGCTTTGTACTTGGAGTTCAAAAAAATACGTGTTTACTTACAATGGAATATTACTGTGCCATAAAAAGGAAGGAAGTACTGATACTGATACTGCTTAATGTGTGTTACCAGTTGAATTGTTGAAGTCCCAGTATGTTGAAGTCCCAGTACCTCAGAATGTGACCTTATTTGGAGATAGGGTCCTTACAGAGGTAATCAAATTAAAATGAGGTCATTAGGATGGGCACTAGTCCAATAGGACTGGTTTCCTTACACAAAGGGGCAAGTTGGACATAGAGACACTCATAGGAAGAATAGGAGATGAAGCGATGCACGAAGATGGCCATCTACCAGCCAAGGACTGACCTGGAACAGATCCTTCCCTCCCAGCCTTCAGAAGGAACCAGCCCTGCCTGCTGACACTTGATCTTTGACTTCCACCATTCACAATTGTGAGCCCTTACAACTCTGGTTGGTTAAGCCACCCATTCTGTGGTGCTTTGCTATGGCAGCCCGAGCAAACCCATACAATGGGTACGGGGCTTCCTTTTGGGGTGATGAAAGTGTTCTGGATCTGGATAGAGGTGGTGGTTGCACAATATTGTGAGTGTACTAGATGCTGCTGAATTGACTTTAAAATGGTTAATTTGTGTTATGTGATTTCCACCTTGTGGAAAGGGAATGCTGCCACCATTCCAGTAAAAAATGAATGTCTGTCGGCCATCAAGCCATTAGCCACTGTAGCCACACAACGTCCCCCCACCCCACCCAGCCCCAATGGCGTGCCCTGAGGGGAATTCAGGATGGAGAAAAAAATGTAACATTCTGTGCTTTGGATACTGGCCCTAGATAGTTAAGATGTATATCTAAGGAATCATTTCAATGAGCCCAGACTCTTCCATCTTCCCACACATAAAAAAAACTCCAGGCCTTCCCTGGTGGCACAGTGGTTAAGAATCCGCCTGCCAATGCAGGGGACACGGGTTTGAGCCCTCGTCCAGGAAGATCCCACATGCCGCGGAGCAACTAAGCCTGTGCGCCACAACTACTGAGCCCATGCGCTGCATCTACTGAAGCCCACGTGCTCTAGAGCCTGTGCTCTGCAACAAGAGAAGCCACCGCAGTGAGAAGCCCGCGCACTGCAATGAAGAGTAGCCCCCACTCACCACAACTAGAGAAAGCCCGCGCGCAGCAACAAAGACCCTACACAGCCAAAAATAATAAATAAATAAATTTATAAAGAAAGACAAAAAAAACTCCTATATATTCTGGCTCCTCCTTTACCTCTTTGGAGCAGTTTCTCAGAGCTCTAGGACTCAGTAAGCTCCCCAAATACAACTTAACTTGCATCTTTTAGGTTGTGCATTTTTCTTTAGTTGAAAACCTCAATTGTTTTAAAAAAAGTGTTGACCCCACTTCTGAAGCAGATACCCCTAAGCCAAAATGCTGTCAAGGGCTTTAGTCGGGGGTGGGGGGACTTGACAGAAGGGATGCCTATCCCTGGACCATCTCCAGGAGCTCCAACTCACTCACGCATGAAAATGTATGGGACCAAGGGCGATGCATGACACAGAAAAGCCATTAGCCAGACGCGAGTCAGCCTGGCTGCGCTCAGCTCGATTGCTTCCTGCCCTGTTGAAAGGAACGGGCCGAGGCAGCCAGAGGCTGATTCACCGTCAGCCAGAGGAGGGCCTGGCTGCCCAGCCTCATTGATCATTCTGGTGGCTCCTCAAAGAGCCATTGCAGGGCAGACACCAGCATTAGCTCACTAAGATAGCGTCAGGCCGTGGGCGACTGACAGACGCTGGATGCAGTAACGTGGGTGACATTGTTGGGAGGTGGCGGGACACTCAAGCCCAGACACTGAGGTGGTCAAGGGCCCTGCGGCTGTCACTTTATTCACGCTCAAGCAAATCAGGCCTGTTCTCCGGGTTGTGGCCATCTGAGCTGGGCCATCCAGAAGCAGAGGTTTTAAACCACAAACTGACTCAAAGACACATGCATCGAGAAGTTTCTCAATTAGAGCGGACAGGGCAGGACAGAGAGTCCTTCAACCGTGTCTCAAAATCACCAGAGATACTCCTAAAAATGCTGAATCCTGGGCCATTCCAGCCCTTCTACATTCACACTCTGAGGTAGATGGAAGTTGGGGATCTTACCCAAATACAACGCTAAAAGCTGAGAACCACTGCGGCAGAGAGTGGGGAAGGCCTTCATTAGTACTTGCTCAGTACCAGACGGTGCCAAGACCAAAAGGTTCCATCTTTAGGGGACCTGTTTCTTCTTTCCTCTTTTAACACTGAATTCTTGCAAAGCTCTATCACTAATTCAGTGAGAATACTACATCACAGATCACCAACTCCAAACAAACTTGTATGTGAAATGAAGGCTGCGAAATCCATAGACTCAGAAGGATTCGGAAGACACTGAAGCCAGAGAGTCGATAACAGAATTGATGATGATGATGGTGGTGGTGATAGAGTAAAGCTTAACAGATTGCCTATCAGTGAGAGGCACCAATTAAGTGCTTTATATTCATTTCTAAGACTCACAATGATTCAGGTACATATTTACAGATGAGGAAGCTGAGTCTCCGAGAGGCTAGAGACTTCCTCCTGCCACGTGGCTTCTAGGTGGCAGAGCTGGTTTGAAGACCATGGGTCTGTACTCTTTCTTCTCCACTCAGCTTCAGCCCTTATTTCTCTAACAGGTGAACTGCTTTAACAAACCTAGATCTCATTATGATGAACAAAGAGGGATGGTTCAGAGCCACTGCCTTTGAACTTTGCTATTGCAGAAGATGAAGAACAAAAGTCTGATAACATTTGAAAGATCAAAGTTGTTTAAACTGTGCGAACATATGGAATGGTGGAACAATTATGCTCTAACTTTGTAAAATCTACTGTTATAATTCCAGAGTTTGGGGTAATCATCATTACAGGCAATCACGATTAGAGACAGCTCTGCGCTGCAGGGCTGAGCCTCCATGAGAGCCATCATCAGAACAGCTACCCCAAATAATTCTCTCTGTAGTCAAAAAAAAACCCCATGGGGATGCAGATCTTTCCCATTTGCATGCAGCGCTGCATGTTTGATAAAGCTGCAGAACTTGAGGGAAGGCAGAGTTGCATAACATGCCTGGAAAAGCCAAGGGGGTTTCATCACTTTGTACTTTTGCAAACTCTGTGACTGGGCACGACCAAGGTACTTAATACAGTTCACCTCAAACCCTGATTTTTAGAAAAGGTGACCCCAAGTCAAAACTCCTGATTATGGTAAG